AACGGGTTAAATTTTAACGTTCAATGGGTATTTCCCACCTTAATTTGAAAGGGGGGGGGGGGTCTGTTGCTATATTATAATGTGCGTTATGTGTTTCTTGTTTACTAATAGCACTTTTTTTCTTTGTTTTAGGGATAGAGAACAAGTTTTCATCAAGAAATTTTCTTCTCTGATTTGGTGTAGTGTGACTTTTTTCTTGCTAATGAAAACCTGACTATAATAAACAAGTTTCACCGTATTTGATTTGCCATTTCTTTTGATTCTCATTATTTTCCCAGAAATTTTCAGTAAGCATGTCGACTGACCATGTCCACTGACCATCCACTGTAGTGCATAAATAACCAGCGTTTGTATGGATGTTTCTGAAACATAACATTGGATATTGGCCTTGCTTACACACTAAAAAATTCGGGGCGGTACGCTGCATAAACCGCCTGCAATGCAGTGCATAAAGACCTAGCATTCGTATGGATCTTTCTAGAACATAACATTGGATACTGACCGTGCGTTCCCCAGCCTTATATGCAGGCATACGATAGCCGTTTTTCCGACGTCTGCATCGGCATAACCAGACCTCACAGCCGGAAAAAATCCTACCCAACGGGTCGGATTTTTGGCGAGGCTTCGTCGTCGGAATTTATCCGACCCCCCTGTCCCCGGAAAAAATCCAAAGAGGGAGGGTCTACTAGTTGACAGAACGCTAGGGTCGGATTTTCCCAACCTTCCGATTAACAGTGTGCGCCGAGGCGGCTTTCAGCCGGGCCGTGCCGGACCACCCCGCCCAGCAAACACGAGCGGCCGGCCGGGCGCGGCCAGACTCTTCCCTAAATGAACAGTTGCGGTTGGCCCTTTGAAGGCGCCGCGTGGCGACGGGCGCCACCCCTCACTGCGACGCCGCCACCCCGCCTCGCACCCCGCGCCACGCTCCTGACGCTAGGCGTTGTGGTCGCTCGACTCATCAAAGGCGCCAGCGCTTTTGTTTCGACTGTTTTTGCTTCGTCATACATGTGGTGCGCGAGGCGGTGAGGCGGCCTGTTTGTTTTGACCAAAGTGATCGAAGTTGATTTATTGCAAACAACTCCAGGGGTGCCTGCAGGCCGCCTGCAGTCGCGACAGCCCTTCGATCGGCTTCGATCAATCAATCAATCAGTGGTGCCGTGGAGTGCACTGCGCCCTCCGCCCCGGCAATCCCGGCATGCGAGATAAAAACTTCCCCCCGGGGAGGTTTTAGACAACATTGCTCCGGCGGCATCATAAATTAATGCCATTTCTTCCCATTTATCCGCGGTTGTATCACTAGACCTAGTGTTTACAGGGTGTCTCGTTCCGTCCCATAGCAGAGTCCCCGTGCTTTTTTAGGGGAGGGGGTGGACGTCTAGATGTAACGGCCCATCAATGAACACCTCGCCTTGGCCTCTGAAGTCCACAATCGTAGACAATTACAAATCCAAGTACGACCAGGAGTCCATAAAACGTTCAACGTCAGCCTGCTCGGCGTCGTCAGCCTAGTTCGAGGCCTAGTTGGCGTCGTCAGCCTGCTCGGCATCGTCAGCCTCTGTTTGGCGTCGTCAGCCTCTGCTCGGCGTCGTCAGCCTCTGCTCGGCGTCGTCAGCCTGCTCGTCGTCGTGAGCCTCTGCTCAGCGTCATCAGCCTGCTCGGCGTCGTCAGCCTGCTCGGCGTCGTCAGCCTTGGCCGGCACCACGCGGCCGCAGAAGAGCAGCGGGCGGCGATGTGGCGGAAAATCCGAACACTATTCCAATCAAGAGCGTGCGCCGTTTGCCTGTCAACATAAAGTTACGGCGAAATCGTTTGGAAAAACGCCCGCTGTTTACAGCACGTCACGCCCCCCGATAACTCCCGGGGCTGGGCCGCATTGTCGTGGGGAGGACCCGGAGCACCCGGAGCTCGACCACGACGGCGCACACCTTGGCCGGGCCCGGCCCCGCCCATTGTCCCGCGAGCGTTTCTCACTCCCACTTCCGTGTCGCCTCCCCTGTGCGGTTTTTGTCGTAACGACGTGTAAAAATGGCCTCGACTAACTTTTATCGCTATATATACATTCTTGTGAAGCAGCGGGAGCGTGGTGCTGCTTCTGCTGCCGCGTCATTAGGCCATTCGAGACGCTGGCGAGTGCAACGCCGCCGCGCGCCGCCCCCTCATTCCTCACCGGGCCAGCGGAGCCAGCGGCAGAGCGTGTGGTGTTCGCACCCTGCACTCTTGCAAGAGCATGCGAACGAGACGCGCAAAGCAAACACCGGAAGAGCAACTCACAAAGCGGGAGGTGCTGGGGTGCTAATAAATCGCTTTCAATCTCTACAAAGATGCTAAATTTGGTCAGTTTTCGACAGTTTCTGCCCGTTTTGATTAAGGATCCCAAAGGATCACACACACAACCGAAATCGTCGTTACTGTCTCGATTTTTTCACCCTTGGGCATGTTAAGGGATGCTAAGGATGACGCGGGTGAGTCGCGTACTTGACCTTATTCCAGGACCATCAAGTAGAGCGCATCTGTTTTAAAGTTCGTTTTTCTCTACACGAGAGGTCCCCTGATCAAGCCTCCAAAAAATGATCCGCTAATTTTTAGCACGAGTGTATTTTCGACGTAACGACATAAACCCGCCTTCTATTCGTATTTGCCTCCCACGGTGTCCCTTGACTCTCACAGCGGAAGTGCACCCCCTCTGCGAACACCACTGCTGGCTGTGGCTGTGCTGTGATTTGGTCCCCTCCGGTCTCCAATAGCAGGTTTATGACGTGCGTCAGGGCCGTAGTACGTGCTGGGTGCAACAGGTGGCAGTCGTGGCGCGGTGGGCGCTGGGGAGGTTGAGGTGAGGCGGGCGAGGTGAGGCGGCCACACCCTCGCGCCGCCCCGCCCCGCCCCGCCCAATAACACTTACGTCTGAAGCACTTCCTGTAGGCCACGTCAGAGCCCAAACTGGAGGCAGATCGGCCGGTAAGTCACTGCCGCCGCCCGCTGCGTTCTCCTCTCATGTCAATCCTATCGCCGAAACCGTGAGATCTCCCCGTGTGTCTCGCGTAATTAGGGTTTGTACTGTAGGTGTGTACTGTGCCTCGAGCCCTGCCTCCTCCTGACCTACTCCCTCCCGCCCACACACCCCTAACCCTCAGGTAGTGGAGCGGCGTGCTCACATACAACAGCTCCAGGCCACTTAATGAGTCTTGCTTCCTCGCATAAGCGGGTACAACCCCTTTGTATTGAGTAATTTTCTCTGGATAATTCATTTAGAGACTCTCACCCGCTATGGATTTATTTTAGAGTAGATCCAGCCGATCCAGGGATAAGATTCCGTCGAGTTTTCTCGCGGACAACGCGGCCGTTGTGGATTAAAAACCTTTGCAAACGATTTCCTTTGCTAAGAAAATCTTATGCCAAACCCGAAGAAACTCATTGCTTACAATATTCCTCGCAATCGTTCAAACAAAACACTTGACAAGGTTCTGGGAGGCTGCTGCGTTAGCCGCCGAAGTCATCAGACAGTCGCATCCAGCTCCAGCTCATCAACTCGTTTGAACGAATCGAGTTCCCGCCAAACAACAACACGTGCACGCCATGGCCGCTGCATCTGTTCCCTAATTGTGGGATAATCTTTTCCTTTCAGCCCGCCGTGCGTCCCTCCGTGCGCCCCTTTGAGACGCCCCCTCACTAGCCCCGGGGCCTACAGCCGGCCACCAATTACACTCTTTTACCTCGGCCAGCTGTGCGATCGACATGAGGAGAATGACATGTCTAGAGCACGCGACGGCCAAGACAGGGTGTGACGGGGCGGGGTGGGGCGTCGCACGTCACGTGTTGGACAAGTTCTTTTGACATTATGTTGTACAACAGTGGCACGTCAGTCAGCCCGCCGTCACACGTCCGGTCTGATCACTCCAAATGCGTGCTTTCTCCGTCCCCCCTCCTCCCTCCTCCCACCCCCGCGGACGGGTC